AAGCTTAAAGTCTCTATTTTCTCATAAAGAACGGGTGCATCAGTTCGCCAATTGAACATCTCCAAGGAAATAAAGAGTAAACAGTCCATCAATGGCGTTCTTTTCATAGTTTCTTACTTATCAGCCTACCGCCCGTGGATAGGCTTACAAGAACTGAGGAACGATCCTTATCAAACTGATGTCGTCATCTCAGCATCTTTGAACTAAGTTGAAACCCCATGGTTTCATTTTAAAAAGGTGGACTTGCTTTCTCCTCTCATCAGCTTAAATATATCTCTCATTCTGATCCTCACACACCATGCTATTTTTGATAGATTTCTTCTTTACTCTGAGTTCGTAAATGGAAATTGGAGATGACATTCAACACTTTGCAAGAGATGGCATGATGGTGCAAAATATATTCAAATCAGAAAAATGAACCCACTTAAACGGTTAGAGGGGGGTAGATCTGCCTCTCCCCCACGCACAATCGTTTACCAATTTTATTTTCAATGAAAACGTCATCATTCATGATACCTTGGTTATCAAAGATGGGGGACGATGATTTCCAGATCTTTTCTAGTTATGAATATCCACGGGGACTTTGTACTTACAAAATTATTTGCTAAAAGCGAATTTGTTTTCTTACAAGAGCACGAAGAGCTTCAGTAAAGTAGTAAAGTATTAGAATGGGCTCCTGTAACCATGGTATACCTTAGGGAACCTGCCTCGGGCAGACTTTGTATATATAAGCTTAAAAGAACTTGTACCCACGCACTTGGGACATGAAACATTCGTTGAAGGGTTCAATTTTAAAAATACTAAGATTAATCAATCTCCGTCTATGCTGCATTAATGGATGTATTTATGATAATGCACCCGTAGGCCTGAACTATCATTCAATTTGGAACCAAATAGCGAATCATCATCCACAGTTCAGCAAACAATTTTGACAGACAATAAAAAACTCAAATTAACAATTCTGGCTTTATTTTATGCCTCTATATTTACAGTATTTATTTTTGAATAGACGAATTTCGCGTCGATATACAACGAGTCCATTTATATTAAGTTAGCATCAACTTAGCCCGGTAACTAAGATTGAACATTTGAAAATGAGACTGCATTTAAAGCGTTCTGGGGCGTTTCAACTTCCGACTAATATGGATTAATAAAATGTAAATTAGTGGCCATAATATAAAAAATTTAATTTTCTCTAAACTTTGAGAGTACAGCATGGCGTGGTATACGCCATTGGTGATAATCTCAAATTCCATCCATATGTTGACTTATCAGTCTCTATAGCCTGAAAGCCGATAGCATCCGTGGAATAAAAAAAAACAACGTTCCCCATCTGGACAAAACACCCCCCTCTTCTCTACAAATCACTCGTCAGACCGCAGATACATTTAAAACATATTTTATATTAAAGGGTTCCGATAAGCTTCCCGTATAAAAACAATATGGCGGCTCCCGGATCAGTCCATTTTTAAGAAATAAGGGGAATTCTGTAAAATCCAGTTTATTGAAATTGTCTTTGAGATAAAGTAATCCGTTTATAATGATTTTGAAAACGTTATCCATAGAGTGATTGCGTTCAAAGAATATGTACAACAGCCAATATAAATCCTTGTATTAGAACTGCTTTGTTTCATTTGTAGGATATTTCATATGCCAAGCTGTGTGCTATTACGTTATGGGGAAATTTAGATGTCAATTTTTCCTTATTATACACAAATAGACGATCCTGAAACTTCACCCATAAATGTGGAATTGATTTATCAAAATAAAAATCACCCTTTTATAAATGTGTGACGATCTATAATATACTTATGCTATATAACAGTTAGAGGTGTTGACACAACGACCTCGAGCCTGTGAACCCTTGAGTATTATTCCGGGATCGGGCCTTTTATACTAAACGGTGAGCAACACCAGAAACGAGCGTTCGATTTGCTAAACGATATGTGTCACCCTTTAAACATATTTTATATGTCTCTGGTCAGAGCAAGGACGTCTATTGGTCAGACTCAGAACCCAGATTGGGAATATGCAAATAGTGTATGGAATCCCTATCACAACATGGATATTTGATCGTGACAAATTAGAAAAAGTCCAAGCCGGCGACCCGGGGCCGGCGAACGACAAAACTTTTACGGAATTAAAGGACAGGGTGAGGAATCTTTTCAGTAGCTACCCGGTATCACCGTGTACGACAGACTGTGTACAAAAGGAGGCGAGGGCCTCATCTGCCAAACCTATAAAATCATGGAAGGTCTTGACAGGATCAATATCAAAGGCATTGCCCAAAAATCTGGAGCTCATAGGAACAGAGGAGAGAACACTGAGAAGTTCAACTGACTAGTAGACAGAATGTAGGCAGCCTACTGTTCGGAAATAGAATTGTTAACGACTGGACCCGGGGCGACTGGAACGATCTCCCCATCGACGCTGACAATGTCAACCAGTTCAAGGGCGAAATTGAAAAACATTACTTCCTCAACTCCGGGCTTCAGGTATTGAGCCCGGAGTTGAGGATCACTCTAACTAGATGACAGACCATTTACCTTCCCTCCCTTACCCATATCCAGTGAGCTTTTACTACCTCCCCCGTCCTACAGTGGTTTCAGTAACTTTTTTTTACAAGAGGCAGATGAGAAATTCAAGGGGCGGCATTCAAAATAACCAATTTTACACTCCCGGAAATGCAAATTCTTGTTATACACTGGTGATCCGCTCGATTACACTGGTTACCGAAACGGTCACTTTGGCGTAACAAAATGTCGGAACGTCAAAGGTACGATTTTTCTTTTTTCCTTATTTCACGCGTTGTAGGCAGAATCCCAACGCCATTTTTTCTCAAAAACTAGTATCAGGACCATATGTTTTAGAAAATGTACATGTTTGCGAAAAAATATGTCAGAAGACAACATAATCGTCGATTTAATCTATTTTTTATGTTAGTCTCAGCTTTAACGGTTTGGATTAAAAGTGCAGATCTTAACTGTTTTTCGAAAAACCGTTTATGTAACTTAAGTGAGGAATTAAATAGACGAATCTGTTGTCTTCGAACTATTAAGTTATTCAAAATTATGTACATTTTTTTTAACATATGATACTGATACATGTTTGTGTTAAAAATGTCGCGGCCATTCTGCCTACAACGTGTGAAATAAGGAAAAAAGAAAAATCGTACCTTCGACGATGTTCCGACATTTTGTTACCAAAACGAACCGTTTCGGTAACCAGCGTAATTGAGTGGATCACCAGTGTTATTAGAGCGTCGGCGGACCGAAATTGGACAAATGGGCAGGGAATGTCAAATTAAATTCACATTCTGATGTGCATTATGCTATTGCTATTGCGTGGGATCACTGATCAGATGGGTTTGATGTAATCCATGGTTATTATTGCTCTTGTAAGATTAAAGGCAAAATATACTACATGTCACAAAAGTGCAAGGATGAACACTTCACCTGTGAATATATTTCAGACAACGTATCTCATAAACAAGAGTATTGTACAGTCATTCAAAGTTTTGAACATTGAATCCTATTTGAGAGGTGATTTAAAAGATTTTACGTATTGCAGGTTTTCCAAAGTCATTTCCATGTGTGATATTGTCAATTTAATTGACCACAAGACACGGGCTACACAAAATATCATCTTGAACTGTGGAATGACGGGGGAATAACTAGGGCAACTCATATAGAATGCCATTTTTACTTTTTATATTCTTAAAATAAATTACTCTTCCACAGGTTTCATTTTACAAATTCAAATGCACTTCCCGGGTTGAACAGTACACTCAATATAGAATGCAACATGTGTGTATAGAATGCAACCTGTGTGTATACAATGTACAGGGCGTTCAATAAGTACTGATGAAATGATGTGACTTTTTTAATCTCCCCCTAAAACAATATTTCGGGCTTCTGACAACCGGCGAATTATAGAAAACAAACGGCGATTTTGGACTCTCGCCCCCTGCTATTGAAAGCCCAGTCCTATCATCTAGATATCTTGTAATTGTTGGAGACCTGAAATACACGATTCGCACGAACACTTTTTATTCTCGCCTACTCTCGCCATTGCTTAAAGTGCAACAAGGCCTGTAGAGAGAAAATTCATCGAAAATTTTAACTTTTTCTGAGCTATTGGGGCAACATCAGGGCGACACTTATATCTTCTGACATAACGATTTGAAGAATTGTAAATTCAGTTCAAAGCTTATAGAGATCGGGTCTCCTAAAAATACAATTAGAGTAACCCCCTGATTTTTCGTGTTATTTGATGTATAACAAGTTTGTTTATCAACTTATCAATTCTGAGGCTTGAATTAATTCGTTAACAGTATCAATTCGATGATTGTTCCTAGCCATGAATTTCCACTTACATCAATAGAAATTCAAATTCAAATTCAAAAAGCCCGCTCAAATTTGTTCCAGTCTGATTGGCCTTTTCCTTCAGATTATTTTGGCTTAGAGATGCCATATTTATAACTTCTAAGGGGTTACAATATAAATAAATCCCCAAAAAACATTGTATTCTGTTTTCGACTTATTGCGTTCAATTCTGACAGTTGGTTGTCCTGTTGATATCCTCAATATATTGTCGATATCATGCTTATGAATTGGTCTCAAGATATATCTAAGGTATATATGATGTCCAGAATAGAAATCTGGACGACTCGATCTCTTTATATAAAGGGAGTCCCGCCTAGAGATTTTTAATACATCCCGGCCGGGCCGGATCCACCACATTTCCGAAGGCGTGAGGAATATCAGCTGAAATAATGTTCATCGAGGCTGCAGAGGGTTTCTTTGGAGATAATCAAAGTAAATGTTAGTCTTGATGAAATATCCAAACTATATTTTGACACTGGTCCGGACACTGGTCCATTATCGTTAATGGCCCCTCTGCACTTTGCAACTGATAGTTCATAAATGACCGATACGTGGCGCTGTTTAATGGGAACTCGCTTTAGCGACCTATTTAGTTATTCTCGTCAAGAAATTGAATCAAATGAAAATGAATCATTCTTGTATATTTCCAAGTCTTCCAAGCATTGCAACATTTAAACATTACACCAGATGGTAACGGAGGTGTATGCGTACTTGAGATCGTCTTTGTTTAATCAGGTAGGACTACTTGACCACTAAATTGCTAAAAAAATCAGAAAATATTGAAAATTGAAGAATTGACAGTTGTTTTGACACTACAGTCAAAACAGTAATGTTTGTGAGTACTTTGAATTTAAAAAATAAGCAATCAAATGACCATATTGAAACAGTTTATGTAAAAATAGAAAAAATTATATTTATCCTAACTTTTGTATATTTCAGATACTGTAGATTGGGTTAATTTGGCGCCCGCTTTAATTTGGCGAATTTGGCGAAATTGAAAAATTCGCCAATATAAATCTTCGCCAAAATTTAGAATGAATCCCCGGGAATTATCTAGGGTATTTCGTCCAGCATATTTAGGTCACTTCCGGTTTATTTTTTTCCAAAAATATGAAAAAATGTCTCTCATAAATTGGCTCAGAACTGGTCAGTCACTCATTAATACTCAGGGAAAAACTAGGAAAGGAAAAGCTTGGTATAGAAGCAGCATCGATCGAGGTGCAAAATGTAAAGGATGATCTCACAAAGATGTACAAACGTGGTGAATATCGCCAATGGCCCTCATAAGAAAAAAAATGAACATAGCCAAAGATGCCCATTTACGTGATAATTAGCAAACAGCGCCTAAGTTTGAAATTTTTTTTTTGCATATCCGCCAAATTAAATAGCCGCCAATATGCCAAAAATGGCAAAATCGCCAAATTAAGTAGCGCCAAATTAACCCAATCTACAGTAGTAATGTATAATGTGCAGCAAAGCTGTGGCCTTTTGTAATCTAGGGAGTTTCAGCCATGTTAATTTTTCCGAAAATAACATGGCAGAGAAGTATCAAAATATAAGAGGACACAGATATGATAGCTAAACTAGAAAACAAACTAAAATATACAAAAGTTAGGATAAATATAAACGTTTCTATTGTAACGACCCAAGGTGTTGTGTTGGGGTTCGTGCAGTTTCGTGGGGGTTGATTTAATAATAAAGGGGTCAAACAAAACATTTAGGTTTGAGGTCATCAATAATCAACATTACTATATTGTTTAATTATAAGTCATAAGGTACATGAACATGTTACAAAACAATAAGAAATGCATACAAATGCAACTCCTGTAACCTCAATACTAATTAAATCTAAGTACAATGCCTGGACTGATAGCTTGATATTATCACACACAATAATGTCAAAGAAATCATGTGTTCAAAGTACCTGTAAATAATGCATTGATAACTCACCCCAAAACAACCAAGTGCCTGCGACTTAAGTTAATATCCAAGATGGTGACAAATATATATCCGACTAATTGATAAACTGAACTCCTTAATTGATTCCTAGTCCAAATATCCACAAAGACTGTACAGGAGCTGAAGACCTTTACCCAAGCGAGCCAGGAGCGAGACTGAGGTCCTGAGGGTGAACATTTACTTATATACCCCTGAGACCCCAAGTGCAGCTTGTACAGAGGGACCAAGACATTGAAGCCATTGATTGGTTAACTTGAGTACTAAAAGACTAAAGGACATCCCTAAAACTGACCATGACAAATTATGGACCAATGATTGGTTAAGTGACTGAAGCAAATGTTAGAATGCAGTTGGTACTGAGGATATTCCATAGTAAAAGACTGCTTGCACCAAAACTCAAGTGGACTGAAGATGACCAGACTGTAAAGTGGAAGTGTGCCTACTGTCTAAAGACCACCAGTCTCTATGAAACCCAGAACTAAGGCTAGATACTGATACATGATTGGTTGACAAATGACAATTGAGTTTGGCCATTATATGAAGACCTTCAGCCTTTATGTAAATGCAGAGATAACTGAGAAATTATACATCCTAATGCCCAAATCCGTTACACCACCCCCCACCAATGAAAAATAAGATCGTCCTCGATCTTCAAGTAACATCAAAACAATATAACAATATTAAAGTAACGGATTTGACAAATACATTGATTTATACCTTTACACACAAAACAAAATCAAAATACAATGATATTTTAACATTTGTAATCATGACAGATCTCACCTCCCCTAACTGGACAAATTTACTTAATGTAACATAGTCCTAGTTGACAACCACTATCTGTAATTCTCAAGATTTTACTTTTCCAAGATTGCCAAAATATAAAGTATCAAAGTACAACTTGATATATACACTGTCAATTCAATAGATACCATCAGCATTTTAAGTGCAAATTATACAATATCATTTAATTGACAATTATACAAAACACAAACAGTGATTAATTAAAATCTATATCTTAAATTGCCTATATAATCTCTCAATGAAATAAATGAATTGCAAAATTGAAATAAAAATGACAACAGTTTCAAGTAAAACCCCTTTGCTAACATTAACGAAGAATATGACACTATAACTGAGTTGGTAAATACAATAACAAATCATAGTAAATTCCATAGTAAATTTGGCCTTCAAAATTATCATCTCAAAGCAATTGTTACATAAAGTAAATCTAAATTTCCATAACTAAACAATCCGTGTAAAGATGACCAATAAATTACCATAAGTAAATAAACATGGCCTGAAACTGAACCATCATTGTACAGTAACTAGTATCACAGTATAAACATGATGAACTGTCTCTCAGGGTCAAGAGGTCACACGGCTGGTATCTGATACTGCATCAACAACATTAGAAGCACTGAACATATTTGATAGTATCTTGTGTCAAGTCTCAGCAACTCCAATCTTTGTTGCATATTATTGTGGTAATCTCATATGTAATCCAATGTTTTAATCCAAATCATAGGCACATATCCAATATCATATGTGGGTGGAGCCACAAAATTACATAGGTTCTGATAGCGCGTGTCGATGTTTCATAATCTCACTGTTCTCTCATATCCATAATCATTAATATAAATGACAATTACGCATTCTGTAATCCTGTCCACATGGTCACTGGGTAGGTTGTTTTAAAACCAAAAGGTATCACACTTCAGCGTTCATTTTGCAACACACTGTAAATCGGTTGAACTCAATTCCATTGTGGTATAAAAATAATCCATCTGATCAGCTGCAAATGTTCTTGAATCATGTTTCACAAGGCATTTCAGTTCGTTAATTTAATTTCGATTGTTCTTTGTGCTTCAGTCATCTTCGTTCATTACGTAATAAACTGCTTCACAAAATGATGACACAATAATGATTGATATATTGTGTCATATATGTATATTCAGCATCAAGCGTTCATTATGTCACTAAGTAACAGAGTGACATCTCCGGCATAAATTTTTCATCTTTAGTACAGCTCCATCATTAATTGTTCATCTTTAGAGATTAAGATAATAAGTAGTTCAACCATGAAGTCCAATTGTTCATCCGCCCAGGTATGTTTTCTGCTTCGGGATTAGTAATGTTAATAATTGTTAATGTATTAGTAGATTAGTATCAATTACAAACTATTTACTTTACATGCTCTATCAAATAATTAATGTAGAACTTATGAGTACATTATGATTGTTCACCACTAGGCCTAATTTGCAATTACTCTAAATAAAAGTATGACTATTCTATGAGGGCCCTTTACTTACTTACTACCTATTACTTTACTATCTATAACAAACATATGACAAAAAATACTCTTTTTTTTAATTAGTAAAAAAATTACACTATGACTTTCAGAAAATTTAAGAAAAGCAGTACCATACCATCAGCTGATCAGACTGAAAAGCGGTGATACAACTCTTGACCACAACAATTGAGAATTGTTTTCATAATTGAAATTCCAAAACAAAGCAAACTATTCTGGTACCCAATTACTTTCATAAAAACATTTAATTAATTTTAATTCAATATGCTGTACCCTACATTGTCTGCATTACATAACTTCATATAACATGATATACCCACTCATGTCTGTATACATTGTTTGACCTTCAGGTGCCTCCCTCTCTAATACTTAATCTCTGTCTTACTTTTACAAGAATTATAAGAATGTAACTGAAACTAATTGACCTTTACTCTTCCTATCAACATACTTTATTAAGAACTACTACTTTTACTCCTTTTTTTATTGCAATAGAATTCCCACTTGCTTGAACTTCACATAAAACTTTTTCTACTTTACTTATCTTACATCAATTAACAGTCTTTAGTTTCATTATACACTTATAAGTCTCTAATTATCATAATTCATTCTAAAATGGTAGTAATTTGAATAATTAATGTTCAATAACTTCATTAAAGCAAATTCTATCACCAACTAATGAACCTAGCCCTACCCATTAAGAGTTTATATGGACTAGATTCATTAATATGTTGCAAAAAATTACTCATGGGAATAAATAAACTGTTAAAACAATTAATATTATATTCAAAATTCCTTTCACTAACTAACATTTTGACCTCCCAACATCACTATAACAGCGCCCCTTTTGTGAGGAGGGGGTCTGGTAAACCAGAATACCATGGTCTTTAATTGCTTATTACTTTTAGAATTAAATTATTTCTGCACAATGATTTTTCGAATATTTTACCAGGGATGCCTTTTTATATAACTCTCTCAGTGGTGCACACACTTCATTGAATCAAATAGGATTGTATGATAGAGTACATGTGTCTATGCACAAAGATGCTTATCCTCTTGTGAATTAGCACATAAATCAACTGTCTGACTAACTGACTAACTACCTGAATTGGTGTCTACCCTTGAATTTCTGTGTCTCATCAAAGTGAATGAGATCACCAGTGTGCAACTGGCACATATCTGGCTTAAACTTGATTGGTAAACTAAATCAACACTAATTCTGATTGTTCTGCTTGATTATTCTGACTATCTGCTGTATATATTTCTGCCGCTGTTTACTGCTTTTACTTATCTGTTTATTCTAACTAACTGTCGGCTGTCTGTTCTGTCTGCTCTGCTATAAAAAAAGGTGGCCACCTCTCATCTTTATGAGTAACACATGTACTAATATCATTCACATGTATCCTTCGACAATCCCTGGGAGATCCTGAACAAATTTTAACTTTCAATTTATATCAATTACCATTCC